TTGAACCGCCAGCCTTCTGGTTAGCAGTCAAGTGCCTTAAGCACTATGCTACCAGAGCTCCCTCCTTATTCTTAGGCAGGATGAAAACCTCATGAAGATGTTAGTTCTCTCAAAGTTACATCATAAATGGTTGTTGTTGTTGTCAGCTGCTATCCAGTAGATTCCAACTCCTAGTGACTCTCTGTACAACAGAATGAAATATTGCCAGTCCTATGTCATTCTCACAATCTTCGCTATGCTGAGCCCACTGATGCAACCACTGCACCAATGCATCTCTTTGAGAGTCTTCTACTTTTTCACTGACCCTCCACTTTACCAGCATGATATCCTTTTCCAGGGACTGGCCCCTTCTCACAACACGACTAAAGTACATTGGACAAAGTCTGGCCATTATTGCTTCCAAGGAGCATTTGGCTGCACTTCTTCCAGGACAGATTTGTTTGTTTTTCTGGTAGTCCATGGTATTTTCAGAATTCCTCACCAACACCACAATTCAAAGGCATCAATTCTCCGGTATTCCTTAGTCATTGTCCAGCTTTCAAATGCATATGAGGCAATTGAAAACACCATGATTTGGGTTAGGCGCACCTTAGTCTTGAAAGTGTCATCTTTACTTTTCAGCACTTTAAAGAGGTCTTTTGCAGCAGATTTGCCCAGCGCAATACAATGTCTGATTTCTTGACTGGTGCTTCCGTGAATGCTGATTGTGGATCCAAGTAAAATGAAACCTTAGACAACTTCAATCTTTTCTCCATTTATCATGAAGTTGCTTACTGGTCCAGTTGTGAGGATTTTCATTTTTTTTATGTTGAGGTGAAATCTATACTGAAGACTGTACCCTTTGATATTCATCAGTAAGTGCTTCAAGTCATCTTCACTTGCAGCAAGCCAGGTTGTGTCACTGGCATATTGCAGGTTGTTAATGAGTCTTCCTTCAATTTTATGCCCTGTTCCTCTTCATACAGTCTAGCTTCTCAGATTATTTGCTCAGCACACAGATTGAATAAGTACGCTGAAAGGATACAACCCTGACATGCCAATTTTAAACTACACAGTATTCTCTTGTTCTGTTTGAACAAAAGCCTCTTAGTCTATGTACAGGGTCCTCATGAACACAATTAAGTATTCTGGAATTCCCATTCTTAGCAATGTTATCAATAACTCGTTATGATCCACACAGTTGAATGCTTTTGCATAGTCAAAAAAACATAGGTAAACATCTTTCTGGTATTCTTTGCTTTTAGCTAAGATCCATCTGACATCAGCAATGATATTACTCATTCCACATCCTCTTCTCAATCCAGCTCGTATTTCTGGAATTTCCCTGTCAATATACTGCTGCAACCATTTTTATCTTCAGCAAAATTCAATTTGCATGTGATATTAATGATATTGTGTTATAATTTCTGCATTCTGTTGGATCACTTTTCTTTGGAATGGGCACAAATATGGATCTCTTTCAGTTGGTTGGCCAAATTTCCTGGCATAGATGAATAAGTGCCTCCATAGCTGCATCTGTTTATTGAAACATCTAAATGGGTATTCTGGCAAGTCCTGGAGTCTTGTTTTTTGCCAATTCT